CTCACGATCAAATTCCTTCTACAATCATTATCTGTAAATTAATGACTCAACTTCAAAGTCACCCTGTATAGGTATGTGATTTAAACAAAATTTTAAAGTACTCCAATATTTAACTTTTGGAGACGATTCACAACTATATTTTAGTTTCGAGCACAGTAATATGAATACTGCTGAAGTTCAGATATCAGGAGATTTGAAACCTATTGAAACTTAAGCCGCCATCTAAACTTAAAGTATCAATTTTTCTCCTAAAGGACTTAGAAGTCACATTAAAACTAACTTTAATATGAGATTAAACGGCAGTGTTATTCAAATTGACAAGAAACTCACGTAAATTATATTGCTACAGGGTGCGTCATCTATTACCTTTTTTTCTATTTGAAAAATCAACACGCTTTCTACGAGGTGAAATCGAATTTTTTTATTAATACATGAATGTTGGTTTATGCCATTTATATATAAAAAATAACATGTGACCACCGCGGCTTCGTTTACAGGCCCATATCCGAACATCAAAATTTTCAATGACTTTTCCGAGAATAATCGGGTCTATGGCCGCAATTTCAGTCCGAATATTGCGCTGTAGGTCTTGAATTGTCCATTCGCATACAGTTTCTCTTTCAAAAATCAACAAAGAAAATAGTCAAGAGGTGTTAAAGCGCACGATCTCGGGGGCCAACTGACATCTGAATTTCGTGAAATTATGCGGTCTTGAAATTTCGTGTGCAATAAGGCGATTGTTTGGCAGCCAAGCCACTTTCTCAGGTTGGAGAGGTTCTTCATGATATTGTTGTGGATTTTCAGCCCCCCTGTATCTGCAATTTTGCTTATTTACGTACCCATGAAGGTGAAAATGAGCGTCATCAGAAAAGAGCACTTTGGCCGAAAATCCGTCTTCTCTTTCCAGCATGCAATTAACAAAAACACGCCGCTGTTGATGGTCAATTCTTGTGTTAGTTGGATTTTGTATGGATGGAGGTGTAAATCAATGTGGAAAATGCGGCGTAAAGTGGTCTGACTACTTCCCAATTGTTGCGAACGGTGTCTAGTCGAGGTGGTTGGATCTTTTCACTCACTGCGGCTATGTTTTCATGAGTACGAGCTGGACGAGCATTTTGGTATGGTCTACGACCTTCAGCTGAACCAGTTTCCTCAAAGCGATTAACAATCCAAGGAACTCCAGGCTCTGTAGGGAGTTCATATCGGCCAAAACTAGTGCGAAGTTTGCGAAAAGTATTTTTATATTTCGACCGTTTTCGTTGTTGTGTTGTAAACGAATCCATGACTATAAATAGCATACCTTTGACAGTTCATTTATGCATACACCATGACTTTTGACTCACATGGTAATACAAACTTAGAGGTCAAAAAAGTAATAGATGGCGCACCCAGTATAAGATGCTCCTAAGTCAATTATATCGTAACAGGCAAGTACTTGATTTTAGTACTAAAAAGGTTCTATGCGAAACTAATATAATGTCAACAATTACTCATTTTGACTTAGTACACCATCCTTTTTTAGATTCTGTATCCGTAAAACGTTTGAAAAGAATTCGAAATTCCTTTTGTAGATTGATTTTTAACCTCCGAATGTATGATCACATTAGCTCGTGTTTTGAACAACAGAATTGGTTGAATGTAACGAACTTATTTAAGTTTAACTTATTATGTTTTGTGCACAAAGTTCTAACATAATTTCCGCCATTTTTAAAAGACAAGCTAATATTTCGTGGGTGTGTTGCCTCAAGAAATATTCGTTTTGTGAATACGTTAACCATGTCACTTAACAAGTAAGCATTCTTCGTAAGTGCTTTGATTATAATACGAAGTTGAGTCATTTATTTTAACTGTGAGTAAAATTAAAGTAAGAAAGTTATAGCCCTTTAGAAGTTTGAGTACCGCCCTGTCTCAATAATAATATTATGTGCTCGTGTTTGGCAACAACGGATATAATCCGCCTTATCGGTTTATCGCATCGGAAACAAAAAAGCGAAAGAATTTGAAATGCTTATCACGATGTTTTTACTACAATTTTATTCAGTTGTATTCAGTCAATGTGTCAGTCGGTAACGCGTGAGTGAATAGTGGTGTTTGTTGCGTTGTTCAAACGAAATAAAAAATGGCACATGTTTACAAAAATGCTGATTTTAATCTAGTAGTTTTACACTGCTAACAATGTCAGCTTAACGTCAAAATAAGTCATAACAAATCAAAAAAACTTTTGTTTGCAGTCATAGCTAACTATGTATAATGAACAATTCATTTAAATTCGCAGTACATTTCCTATCACATGACAAATTTTTTAGTTTGATTTTATTCAAAAATGGCACAATTTATCGATATTCAATAAGAGTACCTTTTTTATGGAGAAAGCCCTAAATTTCCAAATTCTAAAATTGGATTTCAAAACTAGAATCACACAATAATTTTGGGGCTAAAATAACCTGAGTCCGTCGCTGTTACAGACGCTTCCAAACAAATCTATCTAAGATTGTTAATATTTTTAAATCCAACATAAAAAACTAGGCTAGAATACCAAATTTTATGTCTTTATCTTGACACGTTTCGGAAATATTAAGGAAAAACCATCTTCAGGGCAGCCCCTTCAAAAGACCGTAGCGCCCTTAGGGGACGTTTGTCGACCTATGTTTATATAAACTTTTCTTCCTATTTTAAGCTCTAGAAACCGCTGGTAGCATATTGCACATTTTTTTTGGGACACCTTGTATATTAAACAATGACTTATTCAATAAAAGAAAGGGTAGAAATAACAAAACTGTAAAACCAAAATGGGAGCATTGCATTAGCTACTGCCAAGCTGTTCAATGCGTTATATCCAGACAAAAATATCAACGATAAGTATGGAAGTTGTTATGAAAATTTGAAGAAACTGGATCTGTGTCTATTATTCGCCGTAATCGCCCTCGCGATAATCAACCAGTCAGAAGTGAAGCCGCAGAAATAGCGGCTTTGGGAAACGTAGCACCTGACAACACCCAAAGCTCTTATAGACTTACACGCTCAACAGTACGAAGGAATACGCTGCTATACTACAACTATTTAAAACTGTAATGACTCATACGCGTGATCAACATGTAATCAGAGCTCGATCCCGGCTTCCTTCCAGTACAGCCGTATAGCGTACGACATATGTCGTTTCTGTGACTTTGCGGTGGTCAACAGCACAGACAGAGATGGAAATAATGGCTGATTGTTCTCCGCCGGTAGAACCAATGAAATCAAAGACGCGCCTCGACCGGCAGACTCATAGGCGTCGGCAACGCATTGGAACGTGTTTCGTTGAGCGATCGCATATTGTGTGTTTTTATAAGAATTGTTGTGTGATTGTTATTGTTGTGGTTTCTGTGGTTACTGTTTTGGTTATACTTAACCATGGAGAGTACAAATGGCACGAGTGGAAGTACTGAAAGCCAGGGAACAAGTAGATGCACTCGCGCGTTGTGAAAGTATGACAGGCGTTCCAGAGTGGACCATTCGCAGGGTGATGCATGAAAAGAAGAAAACTGGAGCTACTACTGATCCAAAGTTTAATTTGAAGGGACGAAAGGCCGTTAAATTGGATGACGATAGCAAAATGGCGTTAAGGCGAACCGTACATTCGTTCTTCTTTAGGAATGAGACACCAACCCTCAAGGCTGTACATGCAGCGATCAAGGAAAATGAAATTATACCCCAAAATGAGCGTCGAGGTAATGAGGAAATCCCTGTACGAAATTAATTTTCGTTACGAAACGCGTAATCGGAAGTCAGTATTGATAGAGAGACCTGAAATAGTCGCCTGGCGTCGAAAATACCTACGCGAAATGATTGAATATAGGCGACAAAGCAGAAAAATCTATTATTTGGACGAGACATGGTTAAATGCAGGTCACACAGTTAAAAAAACCTGGATAGACAAAAGCGTAGTGAGTAACCGACAAGCAAGCATTGGAGGTTTGTCAACACGTCTTCGTGGACCGTCAGGGAAAGGTCAAAGATTGATCGTAACTCATATTGGTAGCGATAGTGGCTTTTTAGAAGAGTGTGACTTGATTTTCGTCTCTAAGAAAGGAGGTGATTACCATGACGAAATGAATGCCAGCTGCTTCGAGAGCTGGTTTCAAGGGGTGCTTCAGCGAGTTGAGCCCAACTCTGTGATCGTCATGGATAATGCTTCCTACCATAGTCGTCGAGCCGAACGTGTACCGACTATGGGATCTCGAAAAAGTGACATGCAGCAATGGTTGCGCGAAAAAGGAATCCCGTTTGACGATGTGTGAAAGCGGAATTGTATGAAAAAATTAAACAGCACAAACCTGCGAACATTAGTTACGTGACTGATGAGATGGCCCGTCAATGTGGTGTCACTGTGCTGCGGTTACCGCCCTACCACCGTGAACTGAACCCAATAAAGCTCATCTGGGCTCAAGTGAAGGGTTATATTGCGCGCCATAACGCAACCTTCAAATTACCAGACGTTAAAGTTTTACTTGAGACTTCCATACAGCTAGTAACGCCCGAAGTTTGGCAGAATGCTATCCGTCATGTTGTGAAGGAAGAAACAAAAATGTGGCAGCTTGACCACCACATCGACACCATCATAGAGCCAGTTATAGTCAATTTCAACGAGGAAAGCGATAGCGACAGTTTATTACTGTCAGATGTAAGTGGAAGCGACGATGAATAAAGGTAATTCCCAAATTTTTTACTTACAATATGTTTCAAACCACTCTTTATTAAGCATGTGACAAGTCTAGTTCACCCATGTTAAACATTCATACCCCGCCTATGAACAGCCGACTACTGGTAGTTAACGTGAACATCGATGAGTCATTACAGTTTTAGATAGTTATAGTATTAGTGATAGGCATCAGTTCGTAAGGCACAATAAAATGGAGGGTATCTAATAAAACTGTCAGAAACAAAAAATACAAACTATATTAAATACAAACTAGCTACGCAACCATATGAGTCTTCTTCTGATGCAGATTCAACACCGCTTTGCTAACAAAGCTCTTCTGACAAAAACTGCACTGATATGGCCTTTCTCCGGTGTGGTACCGCATGTGAATAATCAAAGGTGACCGCTGCGTAAACGCCTTGCCGCACTCCTTGCAATCATACGGTCTATCTCCGGTATGTGTGCGCAGATGCGCTTTCAATGTGCTGCGTTTCGTGAAACACTTGTCGCATTCAGGACATTGCAAAGGTTTCACTCCTTGGTGGATCAACAAGTGGTCTCTGAGGCTCGTCTTGGAATGGACTTCTTTGCCACAATGATCGCAGACGAATCTTTCTCCGCCATCCTTGTGAACTCTTATGATATGGCTTTTGAGATATTTCATCCTGGTGAAGGTTTTGTCGCAGTGCTCGCACTTGATCTGCTTGTTTTTACCGTAGTCTTCGTCGTGAGTTTCCAAATGATTTTGCAGCAAGGCTTTGTCGTAGCAACTGCGACCGCAAATGTTACAGATGTAAGTTGCTTTACCGTGTTTCGCGCCCACGTGATGGTTGTATTCTAGGATGGTCACAAAACCTTGACCGCACACCTAAAAATGATCAAATCTATTTTCTTTGGCTCTATTGTTAAATTTATTAAGGCTACTAAAGTTGAAGCCTGAAAGGCTTGATACCCACCTCACATTTAGCAATATACTCCTTAGTATGCCTCTTTCTGTGGACAGCCCAATATGCTTTGGACTTGAGTTTCTTTGTGCAAAAGTCGCATTCGTACCATACGTCATCTTTGTGCACCCTTTCATGATTGGTCAGCTGGTGTTTAAGCTTGAATTTCCTGTCGCATTTTGTACATGGATATGGTCTGTTTTCACTGTGAGACACCAGGTGCTTTTTCAAACTTCTGCTGGTCTTAAATAATTTTCCACAAAACGTACACGGTTTTGAGCTTTCTTCTAATGTGAGTTCTGCTTTAGCGTTTTCTCGGTTTGAGATGTTGTTTTTGTTTTCCTTTTTAATTTTTTTACGTGGCCTAAAATACAGGTGCATCATTTACATATGGTTCTCACCCAAAATAGGTACTTAGGGGCCGTTCAAGTATTACGTGAGCACTATGGGGGGCCGGGGGGTTCTTTGCTTTGCTTATTTTGGATGACATGGGGGTAGGGGAGTCTAGATGATTACGTCATCGGTAGTTATTTACTTTTTTACAAGAATGGCAACCCTCACATTGTCTTTGCTAGAAAACGAAATGCATTTTCGGGGATTCCCGCAAATAATGCATACGCTTAGTGAACAGCGCGCGGTAATTCCCCTACTCGCTTTAGAACCGAGTAGGGGAATTACCGCGCGGTGTTCACTTGTCTAAATTTTCTCTATCAGTGTATTGTTTCGTTTGGATATTATAGCAAGTACACGTATTGTAAGCATAGTAAAGCAAGTTAACATTTGTGTTACCATTGATTCCATTAGCCAAAGTTAAATGTTTAAATAAGATGTCGTTTCACATAGACAAATCCAAGTTATACCAAAAATTGTTTGAAAGCTTTAAAAAATCACATACAAGTACGAAAGTAAAAAATGTACAAAAGTTAGTTAACGAAGTGTGGCCAAATTCCAAATTACAAGCAAAATCCGACAAGGAGCTAGATATTATTGTATCTAAGAGAATCGAAGAAGAATTGAAAGCGGCGACTAAGAATAAATCCAATCCACTAAATTTTTTTTCTAAGGTGAGTGACGAAATCATTTTTGGTACCTATGAGTACTAGAAATATTAGAAATCGCCAAAAAGTTTCTCTTTACTGATTAGAAAATATGATGGCCTATCTCAAAGTATAGAGGTAATATTCATTATATTATAGATTTATTTCTTATGATTGATTCCGTCAATTGGTCACAAAGTACAGGATGTTAGTTTTATACATATATATATACAGAAAATTAACACCCTGTATTTTGTGACCGGAACGAATTGCTCGTTTAAACATATTAGATTTAAAGCCATAGGGTTTTGTATTTACCATATATATTGCCATACTTTGTATTTATGTAGCTTAATAAGAGAATCTTTAGCAGAACCCATAGAAAGCTTTTATTTTTAGGCAACCTGTAAACCTGCAGAAAAAACACAAATTATACAGTCAGCTTCGAATATTAAAAAAGAGGACGAAGATAAAATAAAACCCGGTAATGAATCACAACAGCAATGCGAAATTAATGAAAATACAGATAAACAGAGAGCAAAACCTTCTCAGGAAGCTATGAAAAATAAGATTGCTCTACTCGAAAAAAATCTGAATGCTTTGAATTCTGCCAGAGATACTATGCCAAGCCGTGCTGAAGTTGATAAACAGATCATTAAGTTGCGCGAGGAAATAAATCAGCAAAACAGTCTTTAAACAGGAAGGTTCAAAACGCAGTTGCCCAGAAGAAACATAGGGATGGTATGAAAAGAAAGTTAGAAGATATTTGTCATGAAAATCCAGAAATAAAAAAACGACTATCTCTGAGGGATTCAGTGGGACGTCCTAATCTTGAAAGCAATCAACATTCACTATTGAAAACAATCGCGGATATAGCTTTATTTGGGAGTACAGCAGATGATAGAAGACTAACGGAATCAATTCGCAGCGTAAAAACTCTTGATGAACTCACGCAAGTATTACGTAAAATAGGATTTGACATTAGTCGCAGTGGGACATATCTTCGTTTGATTCCCAGAAAATCTAATTCTGCAGAGGGACGAAGACATGTATCGACAGTCCCTGTTAAGCTCATTCGGGCTCAAACTGATCACCACAAGAGCCACTTAGATAGCAAGTTCGCTGAAACATCAATCCATTATTTAGAGAACATAGCATCCATACTTGGACCAGATCAAGTATTTTTCCTATCTCAAGATGATTAAGCTCGAGTACCTATTGGCGTAACTGCGGCAAATAAGCAAGCACCTCTTCTAATGCACATGGAATATAGAATCAAATTGCCTGATCACGATTGGGTAATCGCTGAGCGTTATAAATTAATACCATCTGTTTATGCTGGTATCAAAATCACTTCCAATATGCTAGGATAACCGCAAGCCGTTGGATTTTCTGGACCAACATACATCGCTATTCGAAGTGGAAAGCATAGTTCATCTACTGCTGATACTCATGCTCAGGATTTTGAGACGCTTCTCGAACTTGAAGAGTTTCGACCATTAGCTAAAACTGACCATGGACTAGTAAAACCAGTGGTAATCATGACGGTTGATGGAGGGCCAGATGAAAGTCCACGTTATCAAAAAGTCATAGGGTTTGCTATACAACACTTTAAACGACATGATCTCGATGCATTGTTTTTAGCTACCAATGCTCCTGGAAGAAGTGCGTATAACAGAGTAGAGCGCAGAATGGCTCTTCTTAGTCGGGAACTGGCTGGTTTAATATTGCCTCATGACCTTTTTGGGTCTCATTTGGATGAACGTGGCGTTACAATTGATGAACATTTAGAAAGATCTAATTTCGAATATGCAGGGAATGTATTAGCTGAAGTATGGAGTTCAATGGAAATTGATGGCTATAATGTTAATGCAAAATATGTTGGGGCAGGTCAACAAGATCTTCCTGATTTTTCAGACATTAAATGGTATTCAGAACATGTGTCTGAGAGCCAATACTTGCTTCAAATTGTAAAATGTAGAAATACAGAATGCTGTCGTCCAAGAAGTGGCCTATTTAGATTACTAGACAATAGGTTTCTTCCATCACCTGTAAAAGTAAAGCAAAGAGTTGATGACTTGGTTTTGGATGAAGGAGGGCAATTTCTTAATCTTCCAGTCAATTTAGCTCTACGCTTAAGTGCTTAAGGCTATCAAGTCGAACATGCAAAGCGTGTGGTCTTTATCATGCCTCCGTCAAGTCACTAAATCGTCACATCGGAAATATCCATAAAAAGTAAACACGCACACTGATAGGAAAGTTAGACCTGTAAGAGTCGCTGCTCGTCGTGCTAATGAACTGATGTGTATTATTCAAAATTTAGAGCACGATGATGTTGAATGGCTGGTTGAGAAAGACGTAGACATTCCAAAATCCGATGAAAGCAAGCAAACTCACAACACTGAGCAGCAATCGAAGCAATCCAATGTCTGGACTGGAGACTGTTAATTTGAATTTAATATATGTACCAAAAATTTAAAATAAGTTTGTTATGTTAGTAAGATATAATATTTTTGTCCTTTACTCTAGTCCTTAAATCTATTTTCTTATTTTTCAAATTATACGTTAAATACGTTAATTGACAAATGTTTACGTAAGCATGGGGGGAGGGGGTAAGGGCTTTGATTACTTTTGCTGACAAGGGGGATGGGGGGGTAAATAATTGTAATAAATCTGCTTACGTAATACTTGAACGGCCCCTTACCGGTTACTGGTTACTACGAACTTTTACCTTTAACAATGATTGAAAAATTAAATAGTTTTTTTTGCTTTTTGCAAGTCCATATAATGAACATCTTTTAAGTAATGGTCGATTTCTTGTAAAATGTCAACTGGAGAAAACATATAAGATTTGTGAATATCACACGGCTTAGCCAAACGATCTTTTTTTTATTTGTGCCTGGACATAAAATTTGTGACCCCAAACGCAAATTTCAACCATAAAAAAGAAGCATTTGTGATACAGTTTCAGAAACTGGTACAATAGATTGATATGACAGCCATTATTTAGCGTTTTCTTGAAAATAACAGTATAGATACTTACCTGAGACAGATAGTTTGAAAAAGGATATACATACCATATTTATAGCAATCTACATGTCCAAAAACCTTGAATGAACAGGAGGAAAACAAGTTGAAAACAAAAACTATATTGTTTTATTTCTGGAACAATAGTATGTACATAGTAAATCAATAAATATGTAGGATAGTCATAAATGTATGAAAAGTATCAAAAACGCTGATGGTCAAATTATGTCAGTATGCTCGCAAATGAAACCTATAATTAAAAAAAAAGAAACTTTCTCTAAAATTAACCTTGCATCAGACGGCGAAATATCTGTTCATGATATTTTCACTTCATGCAAATTGCAACCTTTACAGAAAATCGGTCAAGTCAAACATAAGAATTTCAATAACACAGCATACGACTTGTTATAACAAGTTTTGGTGTCAATTGTGGGGAAAACGTCCGATCGTTTCATAAGGTTTTCAAAGATTTCGGCTCATCTACACTAGCCGAACAAATTGAGGGAGCAGGAAAAACCTCCAAATTTTC